ACGTTGGTTCTGCGCTGAGTTTATGTATGCAATGGACTAAAATAGTTATTTTTTTTATTTTTAGGGTCCCGTACCTCAACAGGAAAAAAAGAGACTTTATAAGATCACTAGTTGGTCTTTCCACCCGTTCGTATCACACACAAACAGCTAAATTTCTCTAAAACTCAAGAAACGATTTGTCTACACCAAACGTCACTTTTCTCGGGTCGAGAGTACGATGTCTTATGCGTAGACAAACTCAAGAGACTATTGGTTTACATCCCAATTTAATTTTATCCAGTGTGCCCTTAAAAATGCGTTAAAATGCGTTACGACGGCAGTGGGTGTATGGGACTCTCCCCTCTAACGGACCCACTGAGTGATGACCTTTGAATGTTTAATACCTACATAATTCCTATTTATACAAAACTTAAAATAAATATGATAAAGTTATTTTCTTATTGATATTCCAACCCAGGGCCTGATCTAAGAGGAAGCAAGTCTGGCAAATGCAAAAATAAGGCGCAGTAAGAAAACTGAGGGTGCCATGCGTTCAGATAGTTCTCAATTTGCTCTCTTGAGAAAAGGATCACACAAAAATTACCAAATTTACAAAGCAAAAATAACTATTTTTTTGGTTCAGCACCTCAAAAGAAAAGACATTTCTTACAAGATCATTGGCCCGTCTGACATAGTCGATTTTCTTCTGAATTACTGGATTGATTGATCATGGTATAAAAATTTGGTATACTTAATGCATACCAATAAGTTTATGACCTAAAGGCAAGGTGGTACAAGGTGGTACAATGCAAATTAATAAATTTTTGGGGTAGAGGGCTCTTATAGGGATTAAATTGATTATACATCATTTTGTATAATTCCAAAATAAATAGTGTTAAAGTTCTTAAATAGGTGAGACTAACTTTGTTTTGATATAAAGTAGAATCATGTCTGACCATAATCAGGATAGGTCAGGGGCAACAGGGGTCATAAACATTCTCATAAAGAAAGATAACACTTCAGATAGGGTATGGCAAAACAAATAAAATAACAAATTCATGTATGTATACCAAAGTCACAACTAATCATTGATGCATAACATCTATTTAAAAAATACATACAGACGTCTATTGAAATTGATGTCAAGTAGTATTTAAAAAACATTAAACTTTAAAGAATGTTTTATCATCTAGATCACTAGAAAGAAGGTTTTATTAATTAGAAAAGACAACCAGCTATTCTACAAATAAAAAAGTGCTAAAAATAAAGAATTTAACTAAAAGGTGTGTGTGTAGAGTAAGGGTACCATGCAAAGTTTTTGTCTCCAGACTTGCTTTCTATGCAATCAACCTATTCCCCTGAGAATACAGTTGAGGACACAGGTACAGCTACTTTTGTTATTTTACTGAAAATATTTAGGTATCAAAGCATTAAATGAATGAAAACAAGACATGACAATATGGTTAAAGATTAATTTGCTATGTGTAAAAGTCAGATCTCATCGAACTCATGTAGCTATTTTCAAATCTAATGAGTAGGTAGTAAATTCATGATATGGTAAATCGGTTCATCTAATTGTATTATTATTTTTTATTTAATTTACTTATTTTGTTCTAAAGTGACCTCTTTAATATATACTATATTTCTGTGAATCATACATCAAATTATTGATGATATTAATAACATTCTTTATGTATCAATAATGACTTTCTTGTATTTCTATTGACACTGTGTAACCCATAATTATGACTGCACCTTTGTCTTTTTATTCAATCATTAATTTTATTTTACATAATATATAGATCACATCCAGATTAATTTTTATTACATTAATGTATGTATATTAAAACTATTTAAAAAACAAATTTTTGTGGTGTTATTTTATATAATTTTATGAATTATTCAAAACAATCTTGTTGGTGTTAACAAAAGATAAAACATATTAATTTTTACAAAAGGTTTGTGTTTCATTCAAAACTTTTTTATGAATAACACAGATTTAGTAACAAGACTATTTAAAATAGCAATATCTGAATTTTAAAACGAAGAACTTGATGCTTTAAGAACAGAAATCTAAACTACTTTGACAACCTCAATAGCAAAGGATTATAGGATGTCATATGCTGGGTTCAAGGTCGAGGTTTTGGTTTTAATTAATTGTTTCTGTTTTACTTGACATTAGATATTTATATGGTCTCAAAAAACAAGCTAAGCTCTGAAGAAACAGAATGGAAAAAAAATATTTATTTAAAACATATAGTTACATTCCCATATTAAGGCCCGTTGTATAGGATGAATGTTCTAATTTTAATGAGAAAAATAAATATTTTTTTTAAAACTGAAGACCATCATGTAATTACTGTAAACAGATTCAAAACGTGCTTACATGAAAATAGGACAGCTAAAGTTCTTTCATAATATGAACAAACTGTTATCTTCAAAATCAGTTAGATATAACAAATTATCAAACGCTATCAGCAAGTTAAAGAAAAAATTACCAATACTAATGTTACGTTACAACAACCATTCAGATTTGAAGATTACAACTTGGCGCGAATGGTGTTACTCGACGTAAACCATTCAAACTACGAAAACATTAAAAGAGTAATTCTTACCTGATCTCTGCATATTGAAAAGGTAATAATAAAATTCAAAATAAAAACATATCTCGAAACACAAATTTTATACACTACACCAACAAACTGTCAATCAACAGACTCGCCCGCCCTATCGAAATTGATTTTTCGATAATGTTACCATACTGTATAAATTGACTTTAAGCGTTTGGTAACTGGGCGACACTTACTAATTTCGATTTTATTAAAATTAATTTTATTTAACCAATCAACGGTGTTTTGCCTCCAAAATAGATCTCAATCGTCGCAAAAAGAACAGCCTTGCGTTTCTATGAAAATCCAAACTCGAATACGAATTCACTTCAAGTGTCCGTATTCACTTCAAAAAGCGACATCCTGTGTTGCTTGAATGAGGAAGTATTAAAAAAAAAGAAGACACTGACAAAGCACCTCCACTGTAAAAACATATAAATTTAAATATATTTTTTGACATGATGATAAGTACCTGTTTATAATAAAGATGATAATAATGTTAATAAATATTAAGACAAATTTTAGTGAAGGTGTGTTTGTATAACAAATGTACATAGTTCATTTTCTTTTAGTTCTAATAAATAACATACTACGAGATTTAGTCTACTGCTTGGTTTATTGCGTACTTAGTGTGTTAATAAATTAACGCATAAATTAACACGTTAATTTTTCTAGGATTTTATCTCAGTGTGTCAATGAATTTTAGTCGTTTTGGACAACACTAGTGTGTGGCACTTTACTCCTATGAGGAAGTATTTTTAGAAAAAAAAGCATTAAAAATGCACCTCGCTAGTTGGCGACTCTAGCAAAAGTTGATTTTACAGAAAACGAATTTCCGTTCCTTTTACCAAACATATAAAAAAACTGAAATTTGCATAGTTCGAAACTTAGATATCAATACAAATACGAAAAAAAAAATTAGAATATGAGTTGACATTATAATTATATTCAATCGGGTCTTGTTCGTGCATTTTTTAAAACAATTAATTTCCGAAGTAATACTATCCGAAGGTGTAAGGAAAAACTACCTAAGGTTCCCAGGCAACGGGCATTTTTAGGCTATGTTAAGGGGGTAACGGACAAAATTGGTTCCATTTTGAGGAAAAAAATTTCTATAGACACCATTTTTACTCCTTTATCAAAAATGTCACATTAATTGCGATCACCAAAGGATAGTATTCCTTACCAAAAACCTGGCGTTTATAAAATTGACTGCAGCTGCGGTAGTTCATATATCGGACAAACGAAGCGGACTATCGCCGAACGTGTAAGAGAACACATAGCAGCGGTCAAAAATCGTCAAGTGGAGAAGTCCGCGATTGCAGAGCACTTATTATCATCTGGATCAAACCACTGGACCGAGTTACATACACCTCATGTCCTTTCCACTGAACGACATTACTATCCAAGGATTGTTCGTGAAGCGGTTGAAATCAAAAAACACAACAATTTCAACCGGGAAAGTGGATATAAACTCTCACCAACGTGGAATCAGGGGCCTAATTGTCTAACTTTAAAATCTTTCGGTTTGAAAGATGTTGTATAACCATTGCTTGTTTCTGAAGACAGTTGAAAAAAAAGTATTTGTATTATGCAGCAATGGTTGTGCAACACCTTTCAAACTGAAAGCGATTGCAATAGATTTAAAATTAGACAATCAGGGGGCCGGTTATATCCGGTTAAATGTATAAGTGTCGCGATCGCAAACAACCACGAACAATATTCTCGGATACCGTAAGTGCAGTGTGTCGCCACCTTTACGTATAATAAAATCAAGTGGAGGGTACATCTGAAAATCAGTTAAAAACATTATTACCGGATTACCCTCAACTAAAATCAGAAGACGACACCCGCCAGTTCTCCAGTCTCCTCGTGACCACGGCTGCTGTAACGTAGCCGAAACGTCGAGGTAAATTAATTGTTTTAAAAAATGCACGAGCAAGACCCGATTGAATATAATTATAATGTATACAAATCGTGTGAGTTTAAAAATATTATTAGAATATGAGTTGTTTATTGAGTTTTGAAATTCCGGTTTTCAAAACTCAATAAACAACTCATATTCTATTTTTTTTTTCGTTGAGGTTGTCATGGAGAAATCAAGAAAGTATCGTGGCGACATCTAGTTTGATTTCGGGAACTAATATTTTTTTTAATACTCCTTCATTGTTAATACAGTCTTTGCTTTACTCTTTCGTCACAGTTTGATTCAAAGAGTAGTATAATATATATAGGTTTGATTGTTCCGATCCTTGTGTACAGTACGTTATTTTCTAGAAATTCTTTCCTTAAAGCATTTAACTAGTTTATAGTGAGCTGTGATTTTAACAATAAACCGTCTAATCCAGGCTTAGTAAAAGGAGAATAAAATATTAACCGAAAAGTTTTTGTTGTAAAAAGATATAGTTCATAATGAGTCGTAAATATGCGCCTATATATTTGAACTTTCTACAAAGTTTTATATTTTGCAGAACACGTAATAAAAGGAATGTTACAAAAATTATTACTCAAGTAGGTATTTATGAATTAAATAAACGATCATTTTGCAAATAATTTAGCCTGGGAAGTGACTTCCTAAAATTGAATTCGAGATTGAAAATGTAATTTAAAAATTAAAATTGCATTACTGCTTGTAATTGAAAATTTATTGGGTCGATTGAACTATCTGTGTTAACTATGAAGAAATAGTGTTATTTAAAAAAAGTGAGATTGCATAGTTATTTCAAAAGAGATTTGATGTGCAGAGAATGTTGTATTTATTATGTGTACATATTTGTGAATGTTATTAATTGATTGATTGTGATGATATAGGTCTTTCTATAAAACAACCAAACAACAAATTTCCTCTTTAATAACACAGGTCTGCGATGAAAAAGTTTTTTTGAGAATATTAAGAATAACTTGCACATGTTGACATACTTAATGCAAATATAAACTTTTTTTTATTGTAACACATCACATTTTTTTTTATCGGCATATTATATTTATAATAAATTTTTCATACACCCTACAAATTAACCTTGATCATTCATACAGATTACCCAAAGATGCTGCAGAATTAGTCAGTTCACACTTAAAAGAGAACAATTCATTGGATGCGGAGACAACATTTTAGAGATATTGAAAAAGAGAACCAGATTTTGACAGTATTTCAAGATAGAAGATAGTTTAGTATTTTGCTGTAGCTAGCTATAGTATTGTTAGCGGTTTAATACAAAGCAGAAGAATGGCAATTTTTTATAGATTCATGAAAAAGAAGTTTAAAAGCTCTGCTCTTACATATTGGCAATAAATTTGCTCACTCAGTTCATCTTTTCAGTTATGCAAACTTGAGAACTGTTTTAAAGTACATAAAATACTCCGAACATTTGGGTAGACTTAAAACTCATATTATGCTTCTTGGTCAATAGCAAGGGTACATAAAATTCCCGTATTATATTTGTGAATGGGAAAGTAGAGCAAGAAACTTACATTGGGAAATATCTGATTGGCATATTAGACCAAAATTGGAGGTTGGAGTAATCATAAAAGTATTTTCACAGAAATGTTAAACGCTTATAAAAACTTGGGTTGTAATATGAGTTGGAAAGTCCATTTTTTGAAATCTCATATTAATGTTTTCCCAAAAAATTTAGGCGATTACAGTCCATCAGATATAAAAGAGATGGAAAGAAGATTTCAAGGCCGTTGGGACATTAATATGATGGCGGACTATTGTTGGAAGTTATGTAGAGATGAAGTAAAAACTCAAACAAAAAACCAACAAAATGCAGTTTCCTTTCAAAGATGTTACACATTATTGATTGTTTTTTTATTCGTATTTTATTTTACTCTTAAAATTGTAAAATAAGTCTTTTCTATATTTTTAAAAATTTTTGACTTGTAGTTATTTATAAGCTAATATTAAACCATGTAAATCTGGGAAGTGTGACGTGATATATAACAAATAAATGCTGTTTTATAGTATTTATAACGTAATTATAACGAATAAGAACAGTTTATGAAAAAAAAATTTCAAAAAAATAATTTCGCAGACCTGTGTAATTCATAGGATTTAATTTATTATGCCTGTATGATAAGCATTAACCATGCTATATTGGAAAATATTCTTAATATAAAATACTTAAAATTAAAATTTTAAGTATTTGTTTAGTAACATTGTTCATTTAGAAACTATTGTTTTTTTTTTTTCAGTTTAAGTCACACCATACAAAAATAATAACAATCTCTACTGGGTTAGCATTTGTATGGCCTGTGAAAAAACAAAATAAAGAACAATCAAGTAATATTGATGTGACTCCTGTATTAGTAACTGCAGACAATTTGTTTGAAAATGGACACTATGAGGAATGTTACAATTTATTATCTAGTTGTAAGGTGCAATATCATTTTTCAAACATGTCATATTAATTCTAGACTTATTTTTCTTGATCAAGGTTTCTTACTTTTTTTAGCAATCCAATGTAGAAATAAACTGGCGAATATGTCGTGTTCTTTTCAATATGTCGAAGGAATCCAAATATGACAAATCATATAAAAGAGACCTAATTTTAAAAGCATTTGAAATTATATCTGAGGAAATCATAAACCATAATGAACATTTTGCTGTACAAAAATGGTATGCTTTAATTTTGGATGCTAAAAGTTCATATGACGGGATCAAAGAAAGAATAAAACAACTTGAAAACATCAAAAAGCATATGGATGTAAGTACTTATTTCAAATATTATTTTGGCTATATTTATTCCTTAAAAATAATTTTGTGAAATGAGAACTTCTTTAAAACATTTGATATAACAGCAGGAAATTGTTATTGGTTTATTAATTTTTTTTATCACTTTTAGCTTGCTGTAACATTAAATCCAAATGATGCTACAACTTTGCATATGCTAGGTGAATGGTGCTATCAAGTTAGTGAACTACCTTGGCATCAAAGGAAGATAGCAGAAGCTTTATTTGCTTCCCCACCACAATCAACATATGAAGATGCACTAGAATATTTTTTAAGGGCTGAAGCAGTACAGCCACGTTTTTACAGCATTAATTTATTAAGACTTGGTAACTGTTATCTTAAGTTAAAGAAAGAAGATCAAGCTAAATATTATTTGAAGTTAGCAGCAAGCTATCCCGCGAAGTCCAATGATGACCATCATGCTAATAAAGAAGCAGCAGAATTGTTGAATAAATTAAGATAAATTATAGAATGACAAGATAATTTAAAAAAATATCAGAGAATTATGGGTAGACAATAAATATTTTTTTCCTTATTTATGCTGCATCATATTTTGAACGTCATTTTCAGGCTTATCTGATAAAGAAGTTAAGTTTTGTTTAGTTAACTTTAATTGGATCAACAAAAAGTTAGGATTATGAGAAACTTGGAATTAACACTAAAAGTTGGTTGTATTTCTTTAACCTTGTTTAAATAACACATGTGTAATTGACATAATTTGAAAAAAAAAGTAACGGTAGCACAAAATACAAGAGATAAATTATTTATGAATAGTCCCCAAATTATTATTATAAATATTTTGTTTAAATTATTGAAAAAAAATCGAAAAAGGCTTCATCAAAATAACATCAAAAATATGAAAAAAAAAATAATTACTTGTTAAGAAATAAAAGGAAGAGACGATTTTTTAAAACATTGTCAGAAATATTTAATGCCTTATCATTAGATATATTCATTTTCAAATACCAACGGAAAACTACAAAAACATAAAAATCATGTGTGATTTCATCACAACCCAGCTCAATAAGTGTACTTATAGATGATTACAGACGCAGTAGGTACCTATCAGACGACCGACTTCCAAACAAAAAATTGCTTTGTAGAACGTTTCCCTAGTATTATAGTAGGTACTACTCTGGTAGAACGTGATTAGATAGGGAGCCAGTGATACATGACAACTCCATTAGTTTTAATTATTATAGACTAGCTTTCGCCAGTGGCTTCGCCCGCGTGGTCCCTAGAGAAATGTTTATTGGGATAAAAAGTATCCTATTATCTAAGTCAGCTAATACCCTATATGTATACCAAATTTCATCAAAATCCATTTAGTAGTTTCGGCGTGATTGACGTACAAACATCCAAACAAAGAAACATTCAAATTTATAATATTAATAGGATCTACTATCGATATAGAGCCTTTTTTTGGGAATGCACCTAGCCGGCTTCTTATTAGTCACATTATTTTCGGTTTAATTTAAATAAAAAAAAACGTAAATGAAACACGCATTTTTTTATGTTTAGCACAGTAAATAAAATCAAATGCATATTTGGAAAGTATTAATCGAGCTGCGTTTGCGTAACTCGAACTAACGAGGAAGTATTAATAAAAAAAATGATTTCCCGAAATCAAAGTACCTAGATGTCGCTAAGGTACGTTCTTAATTTCTCCATGACTACCCTTCCGGTTTTCTTTCATGTATAAAAGTAAATTAATTTTCAAAAACTCAATAAACAACTCGTATTCTATTTTTACTTATTCGTATTTGTATTGATATCTTAGTTTCGAACTTTGCAAATTATAGTTTTTTGATATGTTAGTTAAAAGGAAAGGAAATCACTATCTTTGGTCCATTCCTGCATAAATCAACTTTTGCTAGATCTAGTGAGGTGCTTTTTAGTGCGTTCTTTTTTTTTTAAATACGTCCTCATTTCAACTCGATATTATTCCGAGTTATCAGATCCATAACAACACTGACAATTCTAGTCTCTTTAGTTTAACGTCATGAATGAGAAAGTCTACAAAATTTTATGTCACTAGTTGCCATTACAAATTGTAGGAGCTAAATGTCAATTTATAATGTTTGACCAAAGAGAATAGAACGAGTAAGTATTTAAAAAAAAAGAAAATACAAAAATTGTGTCACTATATGGCAGCATAAATTGAAGGATCTAAACGTAAATGACGAAGTATTAAAAAAAATAATAAAGAAACTACAAAATTTTATGTCATTAGATGGTAGCACAAATTGTTGGATATAAACGTCAATTCATGACGTTAATCCAAAGAGAATAGAATTGTCAGCGTTGTATGGGTCTGATAACTCGGATTAATATCGAGTTGAAATTTAATTAGTTTGAGTTATGCAAGCGCAACTCGATTAATACAAAGTAATCTTTGAATAAATTTCTTTTTTATTAGTATAGAGGAAAATGGTATCTGTTATAACAACGGAAGTGAGCATAAAGGTTTTTTATTAATTCATGGAAATCCATTGAATTAATGCTGTGATATAATTAAAAATGGCATTTAGCTACGGTATATATTAATATTACCACCAAATATTTTTTATAAATAAAATACTTATACCATAGTGGGTCTAGGAATTTAACAAAAGTTCTAAAAACAATAACAACTAGATAAGTTAGTTTTATTGCTACTAGGTATTTGTTGAACTTACAATACCAAAACTACATCAAGTCTCAATAATATTTTGATATTACGTATGGTGAATGAATGAACAGGGTATATAAATCAGCAACAAAAGTCTTAAAAACGTTAATTATAATAAAAAAATCCGTTTATTATCTATATACTTACCCGATATGTATCAAATATACTAGGTATTCGTACAATATAATATGACTTCTGGCTAAAATGACGTTTATACAAAGTGTAACGTGCAAATAACTTGGTTTCGAAATTAAGATTTTAAAAAATGTGTTAAGTTAATTCGTACGGTGGGTATGTGTTTTTTTGGTTCTTACAATAGTTTTGTTAATAATAGATTGACTTCATACACAACCTATTCTAGAAATCAGTTTTATTGAAATATATTATTTACTAAATACCTAGAGTAGTCATGTTCTTTTAAAAATCTCTGCGGTGGTGTCGTGTGCGTTGGGTCGTTACGTTCCCTGAAATATAGTATAGTTGAGTTATATAGTTAAAATTAAAGAAACAGCCCTTGCTGAGTTTCTTGTCAGTACGAGATCTCCCGCCTTAGTTTTGCAAACCATTGGCAAAGTTTTCGACTTTCACAAGTAATAGGTATGTAACAGCCTAGACTGAATTGATTTTGATATTTTTATTAATATCATTCGTTTTGTGGATGCATAATGACACATACAAATACAAGCTGAATTCTGTGCTCCGCTTTTTGTTCTTAATTCCAAACCTGAATTCGGATAAAAGTTACGAGCAATTAATAAGTTGGCTCATCACTAATGTTGACGTAATAAACCAAACATCGTTCCTTTACACGTAATATAATAAACAACTTAAACTTATGATTAAAATAAATTAAAATTAATTTGAAAGTAAGATATTATAAGAAACACAAAACGATGTCATTTTTATCGATAGTCAATTTACTTTTATTACGTCAGGAACAAAATTTGAATGAATATCATAAACAAAATGTAAACATCGCTAGTGACATCTCTAGTATGATTACAATAACTAATTTTTATTTTTTAAATACTTCCACATTTCTAGAGTAGGTAGATTAATAAACACCTCACTGACTAGGTATAATTAGGACTTACCCACCCGATTGATCGGGCTCTTGAAATTTGGTAATGTACTCGTAATAAGGGTTTTATTAATATTCTTTTTCTGCATATAAGTAAAATGGGGCAATCGAGATCTTCTGAAATAGGCATAATGACTAGGTAAAATGGAATTTCAATGAATGATATTTTGTAATTATAATCTGATCATTTTGTTTATTTTGATTATCTGACAAAAATCATCACATTTATAACGATCATTAATCGAATTATTGTTGTTTTTTTACAAACGATTATTTTTACACCGCTCTATATGACGTTTAGTGTACGGACATCCGTTTACTGGGTTTCTGATCGTTTGGTTTGAAATTATACAAATCGAATAGAATTTAAATAAATCATGGACATAGAAAACTAGCTAAAACATAACTTCTTCAGATTATTTCATTATATTAACATTAAAATTAAAATATCTTTTTACAGATCGTGAAACTAGTTAATATTTTTTTCAATTATTTTAATAAATAACCGCAACCATTTTATTTGTTGATGTTCAATCAGTTAAAATGGCTCTGCAGTTTTCGGAAGATCAACTAAGCGATGATGAGATTTTCTTTGGAAAACTCACTATTAAAGAAGTGAAAAAACATATTTTGTGGAGTGATCATAAACAAAATACGAAGTAAGTTAGAAACTTAAAATTTGGTATTTTGCAGCCTGGTAGGGGTATAGACCACATAATCAGAAAAAAATGTTACTACCCTACTATTGTATGACTTTTTTATACAATAAATAAATAAATTCTATAATTTTGAGTTCAACACGTTGCGAATTATTAGGATACTATTTTGTGGTTTGGGACAACAATGACAATGTAGAAATTCAGAAAATGACAAATTATTATATACCAAGTCAGCCAAGGCTTTATTAAAGCACTTTAAAAAAAACATATTCTATTCTTGTACAAGTTAGTATTGTACATAGAGATCAAGTACAGTAGTCTATAATAAAATTGGTAAACAAGATCACAGATCTGTAAAAATTTGGTGACATATAATATATTCTTTGAAAGTTTTGGTGTATTTTGGATTGGTGATTAAATATAGGTACTTTTTGTTTTCAGAAACAAACATAACTATGAAGATATCAAGATTATAGAAACCCATTCTGAACCTGATCTAAACAAAAAGGGGCTTAACAGTCCACCTAAGAAAGTGGTCTCTAACACAAATTTATCTCCAGACACACCATTATTCTCAAATTGGAATATAAAACCAGCAGATGACAGTTTCTTACAGGTTGAGAAAATGGTCACAGACTTGTGTCAGTCACAAGAGAGTGAAAAGGTTACACAATTAAACAACACATTGGATATAATTGATTACATTTTGAATAACGGTCCTACTCAAACATCTCCATTAAAAAATAATGAAAACAATAACTTAGAAATAAGAGATACAAATAATGTAGTAGATAAAGCCTTATCATCTTTGACACAAGATAAATTAAAAACAAATGATGACTTCATTAAGTCACCTAAGAAGTCCACACCTGTGAATACTCAAAAACAGTCACAAAGTTCTTTGGTTACACCTTCTACTAATTTAAAACAAAATGAACTTTTTAAGACACCCAAAAATCCATTTTCACAAAAGAAACCATCAACATCTTCATTGAAAAGAACACCTAGTAAAAACAATGCTTATCAGCACATAGCAAGCCCTATCGCTTCATATATAAAGAATTGCCCTGTTACACCACTAGTTAAAGAAGTGAGACCTATGAGACCACTACCTGGTACATCATCTATTCCTAAATATGTTTCATCAGTGAAAAGCAGCTGTAAAGAAAATATTGATTTACCACCAGTCGCATATAAAAGTGCCAAAAAAACTAAAGTGGTAAGTAAGATAAGTTTCTATTAACTTAATTGTAAGTTGCAATATTATCATTACATAACCTGGAGCATATGAGGTGTCGATGGAATTGGATATTGATTTTGAATGATTTAATAACTTTTGTTTAAGTCTACTTTTGAATGTGATTATTGCTCTTGTCATTTTGTGTCCAGAAGAATTATGCAGATGTACAGAAATAATACTATAATAAAATAATAAATATTGGAATACTCATAGCTTAGACTAGACAAACAGTGGTCAAAGATAGAAACGTGAATGGAATTATTGATGAATTATGAGTCTGGTCATAAAACCAAATTTCTACTGTGTTTACTATCAAAACATCCTCTATGTAATATTTAATTATGTAATTTTTACACTAATATTTTGCAGATCACTATGCCTGGTGAAGAAAAATTGCCCGAGACACTGTTTATGAAAAAAATTACTTCATCTTTGCCAAAACCAGTAATTTTGAAGCATAATCATAGAGAAATGAACTATGCTAAAAGAATACTTGGATCTAAACAAGAAGATAGTTTTGCTGATCTTTCACTTCGTCAGGCAGATGTATCAGTCTGTACTAAAAAATCAGCTTTCAATAAACCTAAAAAGCCGTTGTAACATTAACAAATTATTGTGAGATATGATGGAATAAGAAGTAAAAAGTGTGGTATCTACAAGAATAGTTTGTTTTGGTACCTGAATCAATTTAGTTTTTAAAAGGTGTCTTAAAATAAATGAGAGAAAGCAATGTGTACTATTATGTTATACACATATGTTATATATGTATGAATAATTGTCGTTATTTGTACACCCATAAAAAACGATTAATTTTCCATATTGTTAGACCCCTTTGTCATGGAAAGCGTGTCTGTCAGCTATAGTATATTATATTGTATCCTTTGTAAAGCAGAGTTTAAAGAAAGGTTACTAAATAAAACAATTTCCAATATCTGAAATTTTCGTGTAATAGTTATCAAATCACTACAATCAATAAAGTATAAAAAATACAAGTAGTTATAATAAGATAAACTAACTGTGGCTCACTGATGTATACTCTACAACACTTCAGGTTATACAGAACTGTCAAATTTTTCTATTTTAATTTAAACCTTAATTCATTGTAGCTATGTCAAAATTAATTGCGGAAATTTGACATATTATGATAACGTACAGCCGTGTGCAGCTGCGCAGGAATATGTATTTTGAAGCGAGCTAATTACGGTCAATAAGATTGATTCAAGTAATGGGCCTTAGCAATCCGTACCATACCACTGCCGAGTGAGGTGAATGTAATTAATTGTATTTTTCACTTTATAGTTATTGAAATAAGTTCCGTTATTTTTAACCATACTTGTGCGAACGAATATTCATCGTGTGCCATATAAGACGGAATTTACTGTATGTACATGATTTAAATAGAAGGTAAATTACAAAACAAATAGCGTCCAAAAGTTTTTATAAAACCTAACGATGCGTCTTAAAATATAAAAGGTGGAGGCATTTAATCCATGCAAATATTGTTTTACTAAATGAGGCATCGAAGAGATGAGGTTATTTTATCGTCTAATCTGCTTGCTTACTCTTGAAGACAATCGCAATCGATAGATTTCGTACCTTTGATTTGGTACACTATATAGCGCCATTCGGCCCATTATTTCGCGGTTATTGAATGAGCTAATTGACATTGAGTCAGCTTAGCTAAGAATGAGTTTGCATTCAAGAGTAAGTTTACATTACGTTACCGTTAATAATTCGTATTCGTTATTATATACAATATCTAATTCAGTATAGAAATGATTATTATTTATTGTAGATTAATAATATCTGCAAAATAATATCAAAATCTGATAAATAAAATAAAGTAATATGTTTAGCACCACTTAATCAGTAGAAATATAGTATTAAAAATACAAATGACAGTACAATCAATAGATTGTTATATTTTAAGACAAACATTACTACCTTTTTTTATAACTAGGAAAGCTCACATTTTATAGGCCATAACAATATTTGAGTAAAATAATATCTTTGAAATGCTTTTATCCAAAAGTAGCAGCTTTAATTTGGATTCGATATTTCAAGAGATTCATTATATCAGTACATTAACTGATGAATTTAAAGCACTAGTAAACAGCATAGGCACACAATTATCAGTTTCAACCCCATGATGATTATGATGCTACAGAATATAATATTGATAATGACGATGAAATAATCAACATCACATTACATATTATTTATCACGTTTTTAAACGTGATAAATAATACGTTCTTGATGATAGGCGCCCAATGTCAGTAGCATTTTCTTGAAGAAGTCTCTTTTGAGGTATGTATTATTATTTATTACTTTTTTGGAGTTTGAAGCCGGTTCCAGTTTTTTAAGTTTTTATTTCATGTTTTTCAGTGATACTGATTATTTTTTATATGATAGATAACACAAAAAATATTAAATATCTATCTTAATTAAAATATTCAACTAAGTGAGTCGTAGAAAAGAAGATTTTGTATATATTCATATTTAAAAGAGGAAAGATTTATTTCATATTTTAAAAATATACATCAAAGAGTGAAGTATACATACGCGTGGAACATACAAAATCCTCCTTTCAGTGTTTCAATGAATTCTAACTTATAGATAACTTTTGTTTTTTAGCTGAAATGGGCCATGCATAATACATCATCTTAATATTTAGGTGATATTTGGAGAAAAGCTATAAAGGACGTTTACTTATTCGATTTTAATCGGTTAACAATTGACGAAAATTTCGGTGAATATAAATAAAAAAAAACATACATTGCCGTCGAATATATAACCTCTTCCCTTTTGATTTTGAATTCTTATAAAAACAATAATGAATATTTGGCCTGTGCCTCAGCATATATTTATACTTTTTAATAAGTATAATATGTTTATACGCATTAAAATGCCCATGAAATTTTCGGTAACAAGTAGAAAAAGATCTTATTTTAATTCTAACTATAATGAGATATTGACACAATTTCTTTAAACTAATTCGATACAAATACAGTTACAGTGAGATACAACTGATGTGACTCATTGATGTACCTACTTGTTAAATTTCGAAGGGTAGCAGTGTCGGCCAATGAGTAGGTACGAATCAATTATAACTGAGTGCGAGTGAGAGGTACACTTATGCTTATCGAAACAAGATGCTATAAATATCAATAGTACTTAATATATCAATAGTCATTATCTGAATTGGTACATTCGCTGCCCAACCCCGTAACTATACATACATCGCGTTCCTATTTTCAAGCGTGAGACAGAAAAAATCAGAATTCGTTTAAAATTGGACAAAGCAATCTTGATCGATCTAATACATGTTTTCTCAAAGAGGTGTAGAAAGGCTCGCCATTCGACTGTAGTTTCGTGACAAGATGGCTTGACGATGAAGCCCATCTATTACATTAATATAAAAGAGGTATTATTACTTTTGTAAAACCTTATTTTCTCAAGGAATAATGTAATATTTTCCTAATTTGGGTGGTACGGGAAGTTTCATTACTTAGGTAAGGGGTTCATCTGGAATCTAACGGGGGTTCGTGGAGTCAAAAGTTTAAGAAACCCTAATCTGATACCTAGTAGCCTTATTGCTCTGCTCTAACAAAGATTCACCATGTACTCCTAGCATATTAGTTGTAACTTACTGTAACTGTTATCTATGTAATGGTATGACCAGACTGTTATTATCACAAGTAGGACATCATTTTTATATCTAAAGCATAATTTAGAAACGAATCATTTCTTAATGCAAAAGTACTCATTTGAAATTTATTTTACGTAACAATATTATAATTTATGAGGTGATTACAACTTTTTAAAACTAGTTAATAATATAAAATTTGTTGTATTTAAACGGTTATTTCATAAAATCTTATTACAAAATTATTAGTATTGCGTTACGCAGATTATACGTTGTAAATGTACTTATTTTAAAATGCCATAAGCGTATGTAATGTTAACGGTATCCTTTCATTTGACAAAAAACATTACAAATTCTCATTTTACAATCAATGTCAGGCAAATTTATATTTGTTAATGTTACCGCTTTACCAAAAAATATTTGTGCAGTAAATAATTCATTTAACAAATACATATAAAAACATCATTTGACAAACTAATTATAATCATGTTAATGGGTAAAACAATGCGTAGCATAAATAACGTTTGCCAAAATACATTGTTTGAAAATTTCTTAATTTACCAAACTTCCTTACACAAAACCTTATCTTAGTAGAATATAAAGCGTGAGAAATAGGATAAGTTTACTTTTAGGGAGTTACCAGTTACTAATAGGTTAGATAATACTCATACAAGATCTGAGAAACTTTATCAAAGTGTAATACACACATGAACTTAATATTATATTCTGCTTCAATTAATTTTTAATACCGTTATTTTGTAAGATTACAAATCCGACAAACTAAATACGTACTTGGTACATTTAACAATAAATTTTTTTTTTTACGTTAAAAACATTTGGAAAGTAATACATTAACAAAATTTTTAATTTAATTTATTTTATCAAATAAACAGTTTTAAAATGTTTATTTGACTCTTTGGAAAATTATTGTTTGTCAAACATTAGTTAACCAACGTTACACAATGTTATTACAAAGTAAAATGCTTCCATACTTTATTTTTAACGCCATAATACTATTATATTATATATAATATCAAAAAATACACCTAATGTCTTATAAATAAGTACAAACAATTCATAATTATATTGGTCTACATATATTGTGCAGTACTTTACTAAAACTTAACCGAAGCATCTATAACATAGCCAACCTATAAATGCCAGTTTATTTGTATGAAACAATAGTATAATTGCCAGTTCATTTTAAAATAATAAAAATATTTGCATTTTTTATTGTAATATGAGGCTTGTTCCTGCTCACAAACATTTTTCAGTTCCTTTTCACACATTATTTCTTATTTCTTTATTTGTGAATGATTTTTACAGCTTTAGTTGCTGCCATACATTTATTTATTTAAGGAACTTCATTTAATAAGAACGACTTCTTTACGAACTTCTTATTGTTAAGTAAAACATTATATATTATATACACTGAAAGTTCTTTTCAGTTCATATGTAAAATAAGTAAATGCAGAACTTACGTAAACTAACTAAGTTTGTGCTTTCAATAAAACATAAATGATAACGAGAATATAAAATCAATATAAAAAAAACTGCAAATGTTTACATTTTAATTATAAAATATGTCGATATAATTAACATAGTAAATAACCATAAAAAATACCTTTCAAATCAGTTTTGGTTACAGCATGCCGGGACCATCAGATTCCTTGTTTCCAGACTTTTCGAAGAACATGAAATCCTGAAAGTATAATGGAGCAAATATAAGCAATCTCTAACTTATTTCATAATAATTAAAATTCCAACAACCTACGTATTATTATACTTGATAATTTATAAAGAGGATATAATTTACACGGACGAAGTCACGGGAAAACTGCTAGAAATATTATAAGAGAAAATAAAATTGTTTATATATTTGCAGAATAACTAGACAAAGAATATAAACTCCGGGCCATTTCATGATTAGACAGTTGGCATAATAGGGACGAAAAGTGGGTAAAAAAAAAAAAAGAAATGGAACTCGGGTTTTCTGTAGTAAATTAAACATTAACCGCCCGACTTCAATGTATCTTAAAACATTTAACCGCTTTTAAGATAAGTATTATTTTTCACTTTTTTAAATTTGGAGTCGGTTCCATATTTTTTAAAGTTCCTCTTTAATGCATTTTAGTAATATTTTAAGTATTGAGGTAACAAATATTACGCATACTTAATGCAAATTTTAGACTTATATGGTTTTCTCATAGAATCCATTGCCAGATCTGGACTAAATTAATACGAGACCACATGGCAAGCACTAGCTTTCAAATAAAGAAAGAATCCTCAAAATCGGTCCACCGAGTAAAAATTTATTAGGTAACTAACAAGAAAAAAAAAACAGTTGAATCGAGAACCTCTTCATTTTTTATTCTCTTTATCCTACTGACATCGGACACCAAGAAGAAACGGTAATCTTGATGTAACTTACTATCAAAAAACATGCTCCCAGAAGAACTGCTTTAATCTTTACGTCCAAGTCCATCGGGAACGAAATGCCAAAGTAATCAGAATCTGTGAAAGCTTCTCTCGCAAAGCCAGACCATTGTTTGGTAATTTTTCCAACTTTAGTTTCACCATCTTTTGAATATACCTAAAATTGGACATTGAACATTGTTATCCATTCATTCAACTTTATTATGGTAAAAGTAACAGTTAAAAATGAAATAGTGTAATAAAGTACTTCAATAACTTATTGACATAAAATTAAATTAAGTACGGTTAAAATCAATCATCAGGTAAAGATAAAAATATACTTGTTATCACAAAATCTAATAAACCGTAGCTAAGCGTAGCAAGGACAAGCGTTTCCACTCCATTTTAAAAACTAACAGTAGGTAATTACTGTTCTATTCAATTAAAATTTACTATATCTGTAATATACATGTACCTATACTATACTGCTTGAACTCCTTAATCTAATACTCACATTAAATTCCACGTCTCCGCATATTGAATAAGTGCAGAAAGGTCCTTTGATTTTCAATACGACGTCTCCTGCCGCGTTTTTGACGTCATAACACGGTTTACAGATAGACCACTGCTGCTCTATGGTGCCGATGACATTGCCGGGCGGAGCCGATACCTCCATACTCTGTAGCCAGCACGGACACCAGCACGAGTCACACGCAAGAGGTCGGTGTAAATGAATCACCTGTACCGTTAGAATTAGAACTGTCATTTATCGCGCGGTTGTATGAAATTACCACTCTTTAAACTAATTTTATTATTAATTTTTTTTTCAAAATTAAACATATGATTGATTGCTCGCTAAAAACAGAAACATTAATTTCAATAATCGGCTCGATAGAAAAAATTGTATATATTACTCTAAATAGATCGATCAACTGCTATTGTTTTTTTTTGTGATTAATAATGTATGAAATCAAGCGAGCGCGCCTTTACTCTCGATGCGTATTTGTATGGGAATGTAAGCGGAGATACAAGAGAGCCTTAAAACATAAAAATACGACACCGTCACCACCGCCACGCTTACCCCTGACCACCGCCGTTAAATACCGTCGTCAATAAAGCCAAAAAAAATCACAAGTCCTAGATCACCGAAATAGGATTTTACATACCTATTATGTATGTATGCATAATCGAATTACCATAAAAATTAAACTGTATTATCAGTATCGAGTGATAGCGAATCAGTCGAAGTTTAAGTAGAAAATGAAAACAAAAATCTTTTACAAAACTGCAGGCTTACTCTTGAACGCAACCTTATGTCAATTTTAATCCAATCCAATAACGATCTCAATTTTCATCAAATCGTAGCTGTACACTTGAAATATATAAACAATACTTACACAATGTCCTTTAGTTCATTCAATGACCACACAATATTGACACAATTGGCGCTAGTGTACCAAATTTAAAGTGCGAAACGTCACTAATACTAAGTCGATCGATCGTCTTGTACCAGGCAGTGGAGAACTTTAAAATTAATTGATACAAGTATACTCAAATGTAACGACCAAGGAAAATATAGTATATAGTAACCTCATTTTGAAAATTGTCCAATATCTTCATATCAAAAGGGCGCATCGGCCCACAACAATTTCTAGTACAGCAATCATTATCTTCCACGGCATAATACACCTTTTGTCCGACGCTGTTCTTCACAGTATATTTGTTGTTAGTTTCAAAACCGACGAATGCCTCTAGGAGTTCCACTTTTTGGTGCACCAAAAGATGGTCAATCAATGATAGGTATTCCAAACCGGGCGGACAGTTGGTTAGGCCTTGCGGAATAGTCATCCAACCACCTAAAAATATTTTTGTGCTTTAAAACAGTTAGGGTCATACGAATTATGTTATACTATACATATTACAAAGAAAATATGCCGCATAAATAATTATCTATCGCAGCTTGATCGCAACGCAACTCAATTCAATTTGACATTTAGAAGATATTCACGAACTTTATGCTACAACTGTTTGACATATAAAAGCGAATACGTTCGCGCCGTTATTTTTCTTAAAAAATATCGAATGAAATTTAAATTATTAACTTAATATTTTCCAAAGTAAGTGTTGAACGCAAATATTACCTTTTTAAGTTACAAAGTTTTATTGTGATCCTTGATCAGTAAGTGAAAGAAACAATAATAGGAGGTATGGTTTAGATAATTAAAGTAAAAATTATCTTTGCTCAAGTGGTAGCGTTAAATATCTTTGAAATATTTCAGCACCTTTCATAAAAAGCTGTATTAATATTACCAATGTACCTACTCATCAAGTGTAATTGGTAAATCTGTGAATTTAAATACAAAATGTTAATAATAAAACCGTTTTTTTATTAGTAATTAAATAATATTCTTAATGAAAAATGCTTAAAAAAACCACTTGATCCTTGGCACCCTGAGATGGGATACGAACCCATGATCTTTCGCAATCCGAGCGACTGCTCTAAGCACTGAGGTACCCAGGACCTAACAGAACTGACGAATCTTTCGAGCATTTGTTACTTTTTCGCTACTACAGAGCGTACTCTCATCAATGTTCAGGCAATCCACCCAAACAGCCGAATGAAATATTTGTACAAATTTTTAGACTTTCGATTTAGATGAAAATTTGTTCTAATTATTAAATTTGATCAATTTTGCATTCACAATGCTACACTGAAAAATATTCTTAATGAAAAATGATTAAAAATAATCCACTTGGCACCCTGAGATGGGATTATTTGGGACCTGATGACTTTGATGGGTGCTACTCTGTCTAATCGAGATGTGAATGGGTATTTTTAACAAAATTATGGTTTTGGTGCAATTTTCGTTAAACAGCATGTACTCGCGCTAAAAATTATTTACTTTTCCTACATAAACAAACAATTTTGACAAATACACAAACATGCAGAACATAAGGAAACATGCTTTTCTTTATACATTGTTTTATGGGTTTTTCAATGATTATGTTAAAAAACACACAAGAAATGAAAAACATCAATTATAACTAAAATTAATATAATAATAATGTTGATAACGCCCAAATACACCTCAGATAGCTAGGATTACTGGCGGTGGCAAGGAAACATTGAGTAGAGCATTACATAAGACCCTCCACCACACCATGATGTTCTGTTAAAGTACAGTACATAAACCTCTTTTCTTCGTCCGAATAAAATTTCTCATAATCGAAGTGACTTGATTTAAAAATGCGTCTGTAAAGTCTATGAAAACTATACTTTGCACGAGCTACACTAAAAATTGGAATATATATACTATGACTTTCACTCTCGGAAAACGATAAGTGTTTTTTTGTTAAAAGCCTTTTCAAATTTAACCACTTCACTGATTTTTCGCGTGTCGGGATACTATTAAATATTTCATCAAAAAATTCTACACTGTTCACTCTATTAGAATTATTCAGCTGATAATGCATGGCCTTATACAAATTAAATGTTACACTTTTTTTTAAGAGCGTCAAAACAGTACGTTATTGTAATGCACAATAATCACCTACTCAATTAACGAAGAGTGCTATCACAACTGAAGTAGAGATGTAAACAATAAATACTCTTTATCTATGTACCTACCTAGGAACATTAATGATGTTATTCACTTGATATTTTCTACATAATATGGCGATTAACTTATGCAGACGGTCATGTTATCCGATCAAACTATGTGCATCTTTTGAAGTTCTGTGTTTTTGACTTGACTTTCATTGAGGCCTTTGTCGCTTCGACTCCTCCCTAGTCTAAGTTTAGTCACTCCAGCACGCAAAGCAATCTTTACAAATGTTAATATACTTAGTTTAATGTCATGAGTAGACAAAAATATATGATCGAATGTCGCGAACAAAATAAAGTATCCGATGTCTTTAGTTAAAAGTAGTGTTATGAAGAGCCAGGGCTTGAAACCGGTTCAGAATAAACCGTTTTTTTAGGTAAAACCTGTACTCTTATAATGTTCCGTTCCGGATCGGAACTGAATGCGGAGTGAAATTCGGATGGAATAAAAACAGGTTAATTCGTTAGGTTCGTAAAAAGCAATGTTCTTACGCTTTTAATGCGAATTATATAATTTTTAAGCGAGGACATTTATCATACCTGTGTACGGATGTTATAGATAGGAGTAAAGGCACTTAAAAACCGCGCTGAAGTTTGTGAGATCATTGTTTGGAGTCATATTTAAACCGGTTAATGAACAAAACCGTATTTCTAGTGAACCAGTTTAAAAACCTGTTCAAAGGAGCTGAACCTTTTATGTAAAGTTTCGCATGTACTTACGTCGAACCGGTTCAAAAAATAACCGGTTCCAAGCCCTGGAAGAGACAATATAATTACCTCGCACCTAAGTTATGCAATAAAATAGACAAGAAATCGATATTAAGAAAAACTAACATAGGACAAATGAACTAAACACTACTGAAATGGTTAAAAGATCTTGACTATAATGACTGCGAAAACCTAATTTCGCCAAACTCAACTTAATCATGTGAAGATGACATATTGGAAATTTATCACATTAATATTAATACTATACCGTTGCTCACACACACGCACGCATATATAGAATACACCCATCGTATTCATGCACATTCACACGTAATCATCTTTTATTTAATATATACATTTCTATAAAATCCATTACAGTACCCTTAAGTAGAGAGTGGAGGCCTGATGACCTTTAATACAGGTATGCTGTATCTCGATCTTTCAGAATCTAGTGTGTTAGTAACTTTAAAAATGCACTAAAATACATTATTTATTACCTAACTCAAAATGTCACCGAACTCACAATGTTGCATTATAAATGATAATAATAATTTATTTAATTATTACAATGGATATGATACCTTTTATCGGTAATGTCAAACATCAATACCTACAAGACCAAACGATTGGTGGTTTATATCACACACACACAGACACCCTTTTGGTACGTTCAGAATCTCAATGTAGGTAGTTGTCTGTCAACAAAGATAAGTATATAGATTCTTCAATGTACATTTTTTAAATATATTCTTGAGTTTTCTTTGTTACAGTTCAGGGTCTACGAGGCAAAGTGTGTGACCCATTAGTGTTGTTACTTCTAAAAATATACAAGTACCTAAAGCATTTAAATAGTTTTTTGATGGTTTAGGTAATTGAAAATAAAATTCAAAAGTATTAATTAAAGATGAATTTTCTTTACGCACCTGGTTGAGTTTGAGGAATTGGCTGTTGAACAACAGGGTATGGCTGTGGGTGAGGGAATCCCGGCGCAAAACCAGGCTGATATCCTGGTTGGTAACCTGGCTGGAACCCGGGCTGGAAACCTGGTTGCATTCCAGGCAGAGGGTGCGCTCCTGGCGGTAGCGGGGGTCCGGGAGGTGCTACTGGTCCCGGAGGAGGATGAGGGTATCCAGTTTGAGGACTCATTGGGTAAGATTCTTGCTTCCTGTCAGGCGGTGGCTCATAGCCCTGAGATGCCGGAAAATTTGGAGAGTATGGAGTTGGTTTATGTGACATTTTATCCTGAAAAGTCCAAAAAGTAAAATTATTTATGTGACCAAATTGGATTTATTATAAGTTAGTTTTAAGGGGCTATGCAGTTTCTTATGAAATTGTAGTTATTGCGACTTGAAAGATCTTTTGTGACTCTCCACCAAAGTCATAGTAGCTCTTTTAGCCTGGTAGCTTTTGAAATTTTACGCTTTTGTATTTTTTGGGCTGATCATGTGTTGTCCCAGATGTATGCTTCGTTTGTGAATCAAAGGTCCACATTTACACAGGAGATGTTTTGATGTTTCACACTCCTGTTTACAGTATCTACAAATATCAGTATCACTTAATTTCATTGCAATTAGTGTCTGTTGAATTTGCAGTGACCAGTTAAGGCTTGTACCATCGAGTAATTACATATTGAGTAATTTCTTATAAAGTTACAAAGTGGTGCCATTGCATCCGTAATCACAATCAAGGGTAATGCAGGGGTATAAATACTTGACAGCAAACTTGAATTTTAAACCCTTATAGCAGTGGTCTAGTTTGTGAAGTCTCTTGGATTTCCCCATCAAGTTATTCCTTAAGGTATTTGTGTCTTAAGGAATAGTTATGATATATAGGAATATTCTATTGGAAAACACATTACAATGACAAAAATACAGTATTAATTCAATTCGGAATTACTGTGTATGTAGGACGTGTGCATAAGGACACTAAACAGTTCTTAAATTTTCTATAATACACAGCTGTCTCCCACAGTTATCAGTTCAAATTCCTTATAAATAAAGAGCCATCAAAACTATTTAAGACATCATGAATTATTAGTTTATGTTGCAATCTCTGCAACAATACACTTTTTGTCATTTATTCAATTAACAAGGTCAACAGCTATATTCATCTAGCAAATCAGTAACCTAGTCAAGGTTCAGGATCAGATCTAGGTTTGATTCAAATAATTTTTTGGTTGAATTATGAATTTTGACAACCACACAACCACTCATTTGATAAACAGTAAATTAAAAATATGTTTATTACAAATATAAAACATTTACTGTGAAAATGTGAATATTCAGATGATTTTTAATATTTTCCAAGCCTTCCTAAGGAATTACCAGTACCACCAGACACTTAAAATTTCCATCTCGGTCACCTCGAAATTGATTTTTTTTTTTAAACTATATTGATAGTGCATATTTTAGTATCAATTAGAAATAGTTAGGTTAAGCTATCTATTACTTCATGACTATGTCATTATTTTTTATACTAATTCAATTGCCATTTTTGTTGAGCATTATAATCTTATTACTTTGATAATAATATTTCCAGGGGAAGAACCTATTAATTTGTGGATAAAAAAAATTGGTGACAAGTGGAGTGTTGTGTGATTCTTGTGACTGATAACATTGTTCCTTTGATTATGATTATAGTATTCAAATATGTATGTACTATAAAGAAGAGTTTTATAAATGCTTTAGTTACAAGTTTATACATAAATAATAATTAAATTAAATTGTAAATTATAGTCAATTTGCCTACCTTCTATATTATAGAAAAAAGTATAAAACAAAAAGGTTTTTAAGATTTATTTGACTGAAAATATAAAAACCACACCCCATAGGCGCCACTGTGGCTATTTAAAATTGGGCTACAAGAATAGCGATAGCGAATGAGACGTAAGAACTGTAATAGATGTATAATAATTTTTGACATCTCTATCGATGTGGTTAATGTCAGAGTGGGAAAAGTTGGAACTGGTAATCAACAAAATGGTATAAATAGAACTGAGTTTTAGCAATATTTAAAAAGAATTTAGCTTAATATTAAATACATTACTTACAGATTATCTATCTAACAAAACTAAAAATGTATATGGTTTCTTTACCTTGTTTGTTTTGCGGCAACTACAGAAGAAATTGCAGATAAAAAAAAACGGCAGTAAACGATAGCAAAACAGTCAGTCAACCAGTCAACTGTCAATGTCAAGTGATGCTGGTTATTTTTTTTTAGGGAAAAGGAACTTAGCTCATACTATTCATTACAATATATTACATAGTATTTTTTATTTAAATGATAATTGTAATATTTTTATTCTTTATCTTGATAGTGACCTTTTAATTTCAGTATAATTGGGTTGTTCTTCGAAAAATATTATTCTTATCAAGTTTTTTTTATTTTTCTTAAAACCTCAATGTAAGGCGTTTTTATTAATTTTTATGTAATTTATGGGTGCAAAATCAAATTTTAAAATGAAAGGCGCTCATTGAATTATAATATTTACTGTAATATTTTTAAACTTAGAATTATTCATGTTGAGGCAAATGACACCGTACGTCGAGAATGATATCTGCGTATAACATAATGACGAGGTGTTGGAGTAAATGATATAAAAGGATTTAATTTGGGTACTTCACAATAAACACTTACATAATCTTAAAATATTCTTTATTTATAAAACATTGGCATAAAAACAAACAAAACAAAATAAACCTAGATGAGATCCTTAACCGTGTTGCACTTAGCCAGGTAACTGTGCCAGGCGCATCTTTGACACTAGAGTAGCTATTTGGTTCTGTACTTAATAATTATGGTCTTCTTGGTTTATAATTGGGTAATTCTTTGGTAATAATTTGTAATGACTGTCATTAATTTCCCTAGTCTACGTTCTGGTCGATCCCATAGGTTATTTACTAAATCAAGTCAACAATGTATGACAACTATTGACTTAATGAACCATTTAAGTATTAACATTATTTTAGGAATAATATTGTTTTTAAAATAATTATGAACGTTTACCACCATTACCTTGTTAAGGCTCTTATAATAATTAGAAATTAAGCCATTTTAAAGTGCACGTCATCACGTGAAACACTTTTTATTGTTGAATGTGATGATAAATGGTCTTGTGGCGACTGATACATAGCGACAACTAACTCATCGCACTAACATCGCCACAAACAATCGATAGCGAGAAGGCGACCGTCAAGCAGCTATCTCCATCGACCGATTGAAGCCTGCATACATCATAGAGGAGAGTTATGCATCAGAGTTGCCAAAATTTATGTTAATTGGTAATGAAACTTATTCTGTGCGATGTAGGTTTCTTTGTTCTAAATGTCCTGTAGTTATTTATGATGTTTGCATAGGTACAGCGCCATCTCGTTACTTGCTGTTGAAACTTTTTGCAATTCGTCTTGCTATCGATGGCTGTGACGATGCTAGCCTTCTCGCTATCGATTGTTTGTGGCGATGTTAGTGCGATGAGTTAGATGTCGCTATGTATCAGTCGCCACAGTCTAATTAAACGTTATTTACCTCAAAGGGCGGCCCAACATTTGAAATAATCGACATCAAGTATTCAACTAACTCCCAGTTTCGGAAAGGACTTCCAATTTGTTCGTTCGAAAGGCACTAGCGCTTACTGCTGGAGATCCAGCATACAGCACTCACTTCTGATGTCTGAAAGAAATAAGTGGCGAGATGCTTTTTGTCCCACCAGCTGCAAGCGTTTGTCCTCCGAACGCACCCAATCTCTTATTGATTAATCAAAATGACAATAAATGAATAGCTTTATCTTTATTTTGGATAACTTTTTTCTTTTAAGATAATGAATTCTTCGTTTTTTTTTTCGATGGCAAGCACCTCTGGATCATTTTTGTTTTTTAGCTAGCGTTATAGCGTCTTCTTTTATACATGCGCTGTTTTGCTAAACTTTGATCTTTTGTTTGAGGCATTTTGCTGTAAGTAGAAATATTAAAGTTTTTGAAAAGTAAAATTCTAACGTTTTGATTTCACCAATCTGTAACAAATTAGTTGACTTTTTAAGTTCTATACAATGTCAAATTTGGTCGTTATTACTTCATACCAAAAACCAAATAAGGTAAGCTGAGATTTGTGAAGTTGGGTCTTTAAATCATCACAACATTCAATAAAACATTTTTATTATGTTTTCAGTATAATATATCGTTAAAAAATAAAATAAATAAATAAAGCGGCTAAGTCTGATAAAAAGGAATGTGTTACGAAATATCAAAATGACGGGATGGGCATAACTTAAATGAAAACCAATAATTGTCCGATAAAATAATAACGCCAAGAGACAAGATTTAGAGTTCAAATGTTATACGGAGTTCAAATGTTATTACAAGACTTAAGATTTATTTCTCCTTTTACAAATCATTATAATTTAGTAAAATATTACTATAATATATCATTATGTGAAACTTAGTGTCATTCTGCTCAACATCAAGTTGCCCATAATGATGTAGCATAGAATGACGAGTTGAGAAAAATAACCCGCACGATCTAGTTTGTGAGCATATAACCTCAGCAATATAAATCTAAATGAAATCGACTGCTACTGGCGACTGTTGTAAAAACAAACAAAAATGTTATCTATGTTAATTCAAGAAATTAAGAAAGAAGTAATGTTAGAAACTAGCTGGCAGTTGGCATAGTGTACATATTTAAGAAGTTTTTATGACATGTTCCTTTTATATAGTTTTTTTTTACTTTTAGTATATTCTTTGATTTTGTGATTAGTAGCTTAAAATTATTGTTCTGTAACCAACTTATAAACTTGTAAACTTATGTAGTAATATTATATTATTTAATTCATTTTATTTATTATCAAGTACTAATGACATATTTCATGATAAAATGTAAATAACCATGAAAAATTACTTACCGTTCTCAAACGTGCACGTATTTGTTCAACAAGGCATTGCCGTCGGCTGAGGACCCCTTCCACGTACCCAAAAGGGTGAACTAAAGTTGCCTTAGTTATGAGGTGTTTTTAGTAAGAATTTTATTGACGTTTTTGCGATGAATTATACTTTTTATGTGACAAAAATTTAACTGAGAGATTATTGATGTGTTTTGAAAGATTATGTAAATAAAAAGTATATTATGTGTCCCAAAAAAATTATATCTTAAACTATTCCCATGGAAGACAAAATAAGACAGATTCGAAGAACAACCCAATTATAGTTATCTATATATTAATGCAAACACGAAGCAAAAAGTTTTTACGAAAATGGCGAGGACGAAGGAGTATGAAAGAACAATGGCCAAAATGGACTAC